ATTTTTAAAAGGCATCTAAGATTTTAAAAAGGCATTTTAAAAAAGGCATTTAAGATACATATCTTAAATCCCAAATAGTGGAGTACTATGTAATATGTTTCTAGTTACCATCCCTGCTCAGAAAAAAACGGTAAGGTCATCAAGATGTGCTAAGCTTGTTTTGCTTTAGCAATATTGTCTGCTGAGACTTTTTTTCAATGTATTTTTATCCATCCAAATGTTCAATGTCTTTCTGATTTTAAGGTTAATATTCGTACACTCTCATCTTCTTGGTCCCACCATAGGCCAAGAACTTGGACGCTTGATCCATAAAAAGCTCTGGATTTTCTTTCTTCAACCTAATCCACATATCTACATATTTTTAACCCCTTCCCCACATGTAAGCTTATATAGCATTATAAGTCTATGGCAACTTCCTAGGCACATTGAGTGAACATTTCTAAGGGATTATTTTCCTTGTTCTATTTTATTTGTTTCAACTTTCATTACATGTTTCTCCACTCATGCAGACTTTCTACTTTAACTCCCCTTTTTACTTCCACCCCCTCAGTTGCTCTTTGTCTGGCTGTCCACAGCAGTTGTTACCTGCATGACGCATATATCTACGCTACATTTCCCAGCTATGGTAAAGGTCCCAGCATCATTTCCCCAAACAGGACATCAGGGTTCAGTGTACCATTTTCTCTTTGTTTATGTGTGTGCTTGAAAATGCCCATCATCAAAAGTTTTAGTAAAACAGTGCATGTGTTCCTATAATCTAGATGTGGTCACAAAAGGAATCTGCGGATTAGAAGAAATCAGCTTATTTCTATGCCACATCTGTGTGTCTTTGTTCACACTGCTCCCTCTGCCTGGCATGTGCTCCCAGAATTCTCTGCCTGATAAAGTTCCCCTCAACCTCCAAGGTCCAGGCAGGAACCAGTGGGAAGCACCCCTGGCAGAGCTGAGGACTCTCTCCCCCGAAGCATTTCATATATCTCCATTAAAGCACTTATCATTGTACTGTGGTTAGTTGTTTATGCAGCTGTCCCACCCCCATCTGCCCACCCCAGAAGTCAATAAGCAAATCACATCTTCCTTTTTCCTGCATCTCTAGTGCCCAACACAGTGCGTAGAATAGAGCATCAAGATGGCACTTCTCAGAAATATCAAGGGTGGTTGTCCCAGAAGGAATGACTTCAGGGGGCTTCCCCCGACAACTTCCATCAGCACCCTTAATCTTCCTCCTCCCCTAAAAAATTAACACACAACCTAAGTAAAAATTCAGCTTCAAAACAAGTACCTTGAGACCCTCTTACAGTGAGCTTGCCACTCTTAAACTCTTCTTCAAAGGAATTCTAGCATCAACACTGTGGAAAATGCAAGGTTCTCTTAACACCACAAAATAAAATTTTCACATGGCACCTCACAGTACTCGAAGTACTTTCACGCTTTTTTTTTTCTCATTTGGTCCACTAATCCTTGGTAAGGCAGATAGTTTTATCCTCATTTTTCAGACGCTCAAGGAAATAAAAGTGACGTGTCCAAGATCAGAGCTGGTGACAGCTCTGGGCCTAAAACCCTTAATTTATTGATCTGTCTACTCTCCTGCACTCCAGGAACACTAGGCCCAGGATCTATGCAGGATTCCACCCCCAACTCCACCCCGGGAGATTTTTACCCATTATGAATGGTGGTACTAGATTAGACTGTGGCACTGTGTTCTAAAAATCCATTCCAAACAAAATCATTTGGGCAAATACACATTATGAAAAGAGTCAAATACATTCCACTTGTGTCAGAAATGCTCTGATTTTTGCTATAAGTACTTAAGGGTTGCCAGTGAATTACTGACTGTTCAAAAAATGACATTCCACACATTTCTGCAAAAAGAAATATGCAGCCTATTATTTAAAAAATTCACTCATGATGAAGCACTACTATTTATAAGATAAGTACAAGAGCTTGATTTTCTCTTTTTTGATAATTCATCTTTCCTAAACTATTAAATTTAGATTAATTATAATATTAGCAGGCTCCTCACTTATATGAGCTCTTAATTTTTCTATATAATTCCATGTGATTTAACCATCACTTCAATTCTCTATTTATTGCATGCATCTCTTCTTATTAGTACATATCTTCTTAGACGTAAATAGGGCACTGCCTGCCAAAAAATCTTGCTACTGTGTGGTAACTGAAAGTAAAAATTATTTCTCAGATATATTAAGTTATTCAAATGAGCCACATTTAGCTTCTCTCAAATTACTTAATTTTTTTCAACAAAGGCCTATAATAGTAATGTATGCAGAGCACGTCACACTTAAGATTTTCAAGTTTGATCTGGTTATGAGTCTGCTAATTGTAAAAATTTCAATATGGCAGAGAGCAAAATATTTCACACAAATGCAAACAGAGATGCCATGCAGATAGCTGCAAGACATGAATCACTGCCCTGCTGCATCAAACTCGAAAATCAGAGGCAGTTCACTCTGCAAGATTTCTTACCCAGTTTTTAGAAGTTCAGATGCATCACCTTTTAATCAGGGTAATAAACTATAATTGCTAACATACTGTGTAATGTTTACTGCTAAACCCACAATCTGGACAAACAGAAAATTATGCTGTCAGAGCCCGGAAACAACTGCAGTCCGCTGTGACACACAGCAGCCTCCTTACACAGGGCTGTCTTTGGGACTTAACGCTCTACGGTTTGAATTTTTTAAAGTAAGGGTCTTTTCCTTAGAGGCTAAGACGAAAACAGTCTCCCGCGTGACCTTCCTAACACAGACCTTGAACAAACGACTGCGGGGGCAGAAGCTGAGAATTTCAGAAGGCACTTGACAGCTCCACTGGGTCCTTCACACTTGGCTTTCAGGAACAACAACAACAAAAAGCATGTTACTCTGCACCTGCCTCTCCTCTCACCCTTCTTAAAACTTAAATTACATTTACCCCTAAGGGTCTGAACAGCCGGAAGAAGGTAGGAATTTACTCCTCTGTCCCGAGATGCCGAGGAAAATAACCCCCACCCAATTTTTAGTTTTTGAAGGAACCAATGCAGAGCCGGGAGTCTGAGGGGGGCGGGGGCAGAGGGCGAGGAGACTGTGAGGGAGGGACGGAGTGGGGGGCTGGAGGGGCTCCCCACACACACTGCGCCGCAATTTCTCCACCACGTGTGAAAATCTCGTGCACCGGGCGCCCCATGAGAGGCCGGGGTCTGTGTCCCCTGGTCCAGGGCGCGGACCCTCCGCCTCCTCCCCGCTCGGGAACCCTCCTTCCGCGGCCCCGGCGGGCGTCCCCGCGGGGGTCTCCGGGCAGGAGCAGCGC